CAGAACCTGCTTCTGGGAGTGGCCATCTCAGTTTAACTGTGCATCCAGTACTACAGCTATGTGCCTGTTTGTGTTGAAGGATTAGCCAGCCTTTAAGGTTTTAGGATCCAGAACCCTGCCTGTTTGCTAAGGTATTTTCATTGTCTGGTTATTGGCATGCATCTTGTTGCTGGACTGCAGTGTGGACAAAAGTTCTTGTCATACTGAAAACAGGATTTGAACTGCATCCAAAGAGCGTGGAGTCAGTGCAGCTGTGTGATGGGGAGTAGCTGGAACATGCTTTCAAAGACTTGAAATTATTAAGCGCATATTCAAGGAAATGACATCTGAAATGCTTTTATTTCTGGTAGTAACTGATGATTTTCTCCAAGTACCGCTTTGATTACTAATATAACCTCTTGTATCAAGATTCTAAGACTAGCAGACCCTAATTTCATGAGTTGCAGATGGTAATTAGAGATGCTCCATCTGCTTTATTGTGATATACACCAATATATGTTAATAATAGGCAGCTTCTCATTCTGAATGCATTCTGCTAAAATCTTTGTGCTGTTTGGCCCGTTATGTAAAGGATGGCACGAGTGACTGGCAGTGACGTAATGACCTGTCACCACACAGCCTTAACGCAGAAGCATTTTGATACAGAATCCCTTTCTATGTACTTCAGTCCCTTTAAGACTCAGCAGCGCCCAGCAGCTGGTTGAGTATCCAAGGCATGCAACGTGCAGAGGTGGCAAAAACTTATGGAAGCAGCAGAAGCCTTCCTTCTGAACAACAAAAGAGGGTTGCTGGCAGAAGGTGATAACAGTGCTAGTGGCTGTTTAAATTAGGGAAGGATTGGATGTGTTCAGCGAGGGGGATATTGTTTGTTTAGGTTTTCCCTCCTGGGAGTAGTTTAGTATTTCAAGCACGTTTGGGAACTCTTTTTTTTTTTCCCCAGTGGGCTAAGATGTGAGCTGGACAGCCTGTATGGACTTAACAGAATAAGCCTTAACAATGCTTCAGAGCAAGGAATTTCATATCCTATAATGCCAGTTTTGTTTCTGGATGCCTGTATAGACTCACTGTGTGTTCACTGACTTTTCTTTCAGCTTAAAATACACAAGAAGATGCCTGTTTCAGCCTGTTGGGGCTGACAAAATACTAAAAATAGACAAAACCATAGAATAAAATGCAGCTGAAGCTAGTTCTGTGTGGGGAGTCCCTCTGTATGCTATATCCAAGGGAACAGCTGGAATCTGCTACTGACAACACTTCTATAAGTCTGAGTTTTTTTTCTGTCTGACTGTATGCTTAGTGCCCTGTCCAGCAAAATGGAGAGCTGAGGCTTTTCTCTTTTTCATTCTCTGTCTGCAGAAAGGTTATTTACAGCAGCATTGGCTGAGTCATTTTGTCACTAGCTAGTTCAAAAGGTTCTGTGTAAAACGTGCTCCAAGAACAGCACCCGCAAAGGGCTTACTTATATAAATCAGCATTCAGAGATCGTGAAACATAAAAACACATTGCTCCGAAAGAAAAGACTAAGATCCTCAAAATAATTGGCAAGGGCAATGGAAATTATTGAAAGAATGAATGGGAGCAGCTACAATTGTTGCCAAAATCATTATGGTCATCAAGCTGAAGAATGAGCCTGGCAGCAGCAGCAGTACAGCCAGATGGCCAAACAACACAACTTATCAGTAATCCATCCATTTGTCTGATTGGAATCTCACCCACCCACCATCTCAGGTGGGGACTAGAGAGGGGTTCCTGAAATGAGAGTCACTAAGCTCCTGCAGGTCTCAGAAAGAACCAGCCACAGATGAGGTGCAGGTTTGCTAGGGCCCTGTGCACAAATGTTGCATCGTGATGTTAAAACGGATTGGTTTTGAATACTGCAGATCCCTTACTCCACGTGGCTGGGCTGAGATGCTGTCAGTATGGCCATGTGTGTGTCAGCAATTAAGGAACCTCTGAGAATTCACGTACAGACTCATGTTGCTCACCTTGCAACATAACTCTTCCCAGCAGAATATGAATGCTGTAATACGGAAAGGAGCCTTGCTCTACACTTGCTAAGTGCTCTTATCTCTCAAGTGGTCTGAAAAACAGAACTAGAATAAACTAAGTGGAATAGGGCGTATCCTTGTCTCCAACTTGGATTTTGCCATAATATTCTTATCCTCTTCATAACACATCAATCTTCAAGAGGCAACTTTCTCCATAGAACGTCAGCTTAGTTTCTTAGACCAACCTATTTAACATCTAGCTCATCTAGCAAGGTAGAACCAATAAACACTGACATTTACAGCAAACCCCACCATCTTTATTTGTAGCCTTCTCTTTAATGCTAGCATCTCAGTATTATCTCTCTTTCTCACTGACGAACATCCTGATAACCAACGGCAAAGACTTGGTGTAATAAAAATAAACACTGGAATAGCTGAAACTGTCCTGGATGTCCTTTAGTAAGACGTCAGCTCTGTGAAGTGAGGTATGCGTCAGCAGTGTTAGCAAAATAAATGTGCCAGGGACTGGTTCTCCTTTCCTCTTATGTTTAAGTAAACCTTGAAAAGACAAACAAAGCTCCCCATCAGAATGGAACTGAAATGCAATATGGAATGATTCACACCAAATAAATAAATGCTTTTCAGTTGCAATCATTCCCTATTGAGTTGAAGTGGTATAATGCTGTTTCAATCTCATCACTTCCAAAAAGCATGCACAAACAAAAGAGGTGATTTTAACACTAGGAGGGGGAATGGCAGCTCACACGGAGCATCCAGCCAAAGGACCAGGAATAATTTTATGATAACAGAACTGAAATCTATGCCAGTTTACAATTTCCTCTACAATTAATTTCATTTCTTCATTACCCAAAAAATTGACCCTGAAAATCATAATTCCCAGGCATTTCATCTATGTGCAGTTTCCATGGGATTTGCCACTGAATAACTCAGAACACTGGTAAGGTTAGTCCAGTTTAATCTGATTTCCATCGGGGCTCCCACCCACCTTCATGGGAGCATTCAACTCTTACTCCCATCTGCAACATCAATCCACCTTAAAGAGTATCTGTGAACACTTACAACAAAATTCTTAATGGTCATTTTGAGCACTAATGCATGCATAGGAATGCCCCCCAACTAATGCTGAAACGTAACTGCTGTCTGACAGCTCTGTAGCAACACTAAATAGTCATTCATCTACTTAGCTGAGAGCAAGAACTGAAGCAGTGGGAACATACAACATTTGAATCAGCATTTGTTAGCAAAATGTTTCCCTTGTGATGTACAGAAATCCTACTGACTGCAAATATTCTTGACTTTGATCATACTTAAAGCTACTAAGTTCAGCCAAAAGTGATTCACAAGTGACTGGGCTGGGGATTTTGTTAACAGTGGCAGTGAGCTGTCCCTGTGTGAATGACCACTGCTGCTGGCAGTACCTGTGCAGTTCTGTGGGATTCTCCTCTCATAACCACCAGGCTTCTTCTCTGAAAGCTTGTCATGTGTACAACAGGCAGCTCCAGTCCTGCAAAACAAATACATTCCTATGAGATTGCAGTCTGAGATGCTGTGAGTCATGACACTCATTTTTCACATACAGTTTCTATTCTGCCTAAATGAATCTCATTCCCTTTAGACTCTGCCCCCAGTGAAAACACTTTGCTTGGGGTCTGCATTTGTTCTTTCCTTTAATTCTTTCATATTCCTTGAGATGTGAGGGCTGATACTCCAGTGGAATAGAATCTAATTTCTCAGGGTTCCTATTGATTACAGCAGGGTCATTTGACATAAGATGCAGCACGTGTGTATGTTACAGTTGGCATTTCAGCAGTCTGCCCACATTGGCAAACAATTCTGCTCCAGAATTTGAACATTAAAACAGCAGACCTAGGTGAGACCAGAGTGCATTTAAGTTTTTGGGTATGCTTAAACAATAAAACCAATATATAGGAGATTTTTGTGAATTATCATTAATAACACAAAAGTGTATTTTTAGTAGTATTTGAAGTTCAGTTTTTAGTTAGGTTTGGGCTCTATGCTATGCCTTTCCTTAGTAAAAAGAAAGAACAGTCTCTATATTTCCCAGTGGTGCTCATTTCTGATGCAGACTTGATGTCAATCTGACACCATGCTGCAGAAATACATACAAACAAAAAGCCTTCATGTACCAGAAAATTAACAATTTAACAAGCAGAATGTATAATTCATACAGCCTAAAAAGACAGCAGGCTTCAAAAACTAAAAATACCTTGCCAGCTTGAGGGTTTTTATTTAAATTTTAAGGCATTTAAGAACATCATATTGAAATATAATACTTACATATTGCCAGATTGTCTGAAGTCAATCCGACCATCTTAACTGCTTTCTGGTTGAAAAAAAAAAAAAAAAAAAAAAAAAAGAAGATGATGTGAAGCCATTTTAATGGTCTGTTTTCTTTTTATGAAAATCTACACAGAATTAGTTGCCATTATAAAATGATATATCAGACTGCTTAGAATTTAGTTCTATATATATACAGCAGTTATCAGTGTTGAAAAGTCTAAAGTTCTGAACAGCTGAGTTTTCATAGCACCCAGTTTTTTGGTTGCACACTAACCATGCTGCACCTCTCTACCAGGAAGAAGCAGATGAATTCTTTCAGTTCTCTTTGTAATTCAGATCCTCCTGAAGCCACTGGAAAGATTTCTGTTAAGACAGCTTACTGGGACTTCACTGTCGATTGCTTGTCTCACCGAGGTGAGTTCTTCATGTTGTTATTTCAGGACTTCCAATCTCAGCACTACCATCTGTAAAGCCCTTTCTCCTCTTGAAACTGAGGTTGTCTATTAAGAAGAGAGCTATTGGACAGCAACAGATGCTTGTTACTGGTCCATGGCAATATTTCAAACTGTGTACATTCTAAGCGTATACTTTCAGTAAGTGTTGAGGTAAGAAATCATACCGAGGGTAAAAAAATGTCCTCAGGTGACATCAAGAATGAAGGAGATTTGCTTTTGACAGGCAAAAAGCTAACTGTCGTTCTTGCTCTTGCAGGTGTGCTCTCACAAGGCTGGGAAAGTCTTTATTTTTGGGGGTTTCCACGGTAACGTTGGCAGTCCTAAATGGAAACAAAAATATTTAAAAGGATATGTTAAAAGAAAGTGGGATTCAAACATGACTGAGGTTTGTGTTTTGGTAAGGGTAGAAAGCAGAAATACTGTTGTACATGGATTTTAAAATTCTATCTAAATTAAATCCAAAGAGAAATTCAGGCACATTTTTACAAACTGTTGTGGGTTTGGCATCATAAAAAACACTTTACCAAAGGCCTTCCAAGGGTCGGCGAGGCACAGACTGACTCTTTTCATGCTTTGTTTTCTGAATTAAGTGGCTGTTTTCTACAACTTGAATTTCCATACAATCCAATTGATCATTGCAGTAAAAACAGCTGCTGCCAAAAATATAGAACACAAAATTCTATGCAGGTTTCATATGTTATAGCAGTAGCCTTTAAATGTTTGGAAGGCTTAAAAATGAAACTTATGCCACCATCTTGAAAAGAAGCCTGCAGTGCTGAAGAGAGAATTCTTTCTTGATTTTTTTTTGTTTTGTTTTGTTTTTTGTCCTGAAAATCAAATCTTGTAAGAAACTGTAGCTGTGTCGCTTCAGGGTGGAGAACCCCAGTGTGTCGAGCCCCAGTGTGTCCTCCATTGCCTTCAGGAAAGGAGGGCACTGGCCCTGCAATGCAGTGTCTGCATCACAAGTTTCAAGAATCGTATCATTATAGAATGGCTTGGGTTGGAAGAGACCTTAAAGATTGCCCAGCTCCAGCCCCCTCCCACAGGCTGGTTGCCCCCACTAATCAGGCTGCCCAGGGCCCCATCCAACCTGGCCATGAGCACCTCCAGGGATGGAGAACCCACAGCTCCCTGGGCAGCTGTGCCACCAGGCTTGGACACAAATGGGGCCTCACAAGAGCAGATCAGATGGGGACAATCCCCTCCCTGCCCCACTGCTACTTCCCTTTTAAGAGAAAGATTTCTGGAAGCCTCTGAGGCTGTAACCAAGTACCAGGCACCAGCCAGTTTTGTTTTGTGCCCTCAAGAGCAAGAGAGTGCCAAAATGACTCAGACAACGATGCAAACGTGAGGGAAGCCCTGACACTACATCACCACACTGGTAATAGTGGGACAGATCCCAGTGACCTCAGGAAATAACAGAGGGAAGCCACTTCTTTTCTATTGCTGCAGCAGGCTGAGAAGAAGGCTTGAGAGAGAAAAACGTCACCTGTGCCCTTTCCTTTTGCTTGCTTTTGCTTCCAATGGAAGACAGCAGACAGATGGCTCAATGCTGAGGTGGACTGGGGACCTGGTGGCTGTGCTATTAATACACCGGGGTTGGAAAACAGCACTTGAAAGTGCCTCTGTCATAAGGTCCTGTTTGAAACCAATCCCGGATCTGTGAAAACTTCCCAAAATCGCTTTCCTCAGTATAGAAGCCGGATATATATTCATTGAATCAGGCTCTTAATTAGGTTGGATACAAAGGGCTTTTCCCCCCACAGTACTTCCTGGTCAGCAGCAGTGCCCCCTGCTTTCTGCTAACCCTGATGTGCCATTCTGTGGGTATTATTTACTTTCACAAACACACCATAGCAATCAATTATTGATCCCCTTTCTTCCCCCTCCCCCTTTTAATTTATTAATTATATTTTTCAGGCCACACTTCTTCCCACTTACTTGGGCTGCTCTTTTCATTAAAACAAGTTCTCCAGCTGCCCCCAAATGTTTGCCCTTCCTGTCCATTCTTGGGCATGCCAAAACTGTTAGTGCACAACAGGAAACCAATAGCTTGTGCTATCGGGAGACATTTCCTTCACAGCACAAAACGTCTGAATAATAATTTCAAGCAAGGCTTCACCCATTTCCTGTAAAAGGAGGGAAGTTTGCCTATCCTAGTCCCTCAGAGCTCTTTGTTTCCATCCCTTCATGACGTAATGCTTTCTGCACAGGGAAGATGGATCGTTTTCCCTTAGCAGGACTGAATTCAATATCCTGTGTAAAGATTTGATACCAGTATTCAGCAATGAAACATGCAACGCATACAAATAATAAAAAAGATGTGCTATAGTTTATACTTGTAATGTCTCTTTTAAAAAATAAATCAACTTTTTGGTGTCTGGAAAATAGCTGAAATGAGAACATGGGTGCTAAAGATAGCATGTTTTATTAAAAGTTTTAATGCAGTATTAGCAATGCAAGTGTCAACTACTGCACATCCTGCAGCAGATCTAACAGCCCACCTGCATCAGCTCTCGCTGAGCACCAAAATGCCCCAGTCTGAATTGTCCACTATACAGCCCTGGATTTTACAGGAGCATTGTGAATAAACTACATCAATTGAATACATCAATTGAATTGTGAATAAAGTACATCAATTAAGCACATGCTTAACTTCATCGTTGGAGTTGGAAGGGACACTTGAAGGCCATGTAGTCCAACTGCCCTGCACTGAACAGGGACACCTACAGCTGGTCAGGTGCTCAGAGCCCCATCCAGCCTGACCTTGGGTGTCCGGTGCCTATATGGCAAATAAAATAAAATTAAAAAATCTCTTAAATAAATGCTGAAGAGTGACTAAGTTTGTTAAGTATTATGCTACATCAAAGCCTTAATATAATGGCACTGCTTTTGGAATTGTTAAAAAAGGAACTACCAAGCAACGTGCGTGCTAATACTCCAGAGCTGGAACATTTAGAGATGTTTAGGATGCATAATTTTAGGAAAACTGTCTTAAAGTGCCCTTTATCCAAACAAAATAGACATAGAAATTTCTACATATGAAATGCTGTTTCTACTGAATCCTACTAAGATGCAACCTAATCTATTTTTGTTCAACGATGCAACTTGGAATCAAGTATGCAGATTACTTAATTTTCAACAGATTTTTTTTTTTTTTAACAAGCTTAATAAACCTTGTGGATATGACTTTTTTATCTCCTGCTGCAGCAATCCAGAAAGCTTAAAAGGAAAATTTGTCAAAGAGTTTAAGTACCTTAAAAACTGCTAATGTCACAATTGTTATTGTAATGCAGTCTTAATTATATTATTTGTCCTCACGCAAGCATAATAAATGTCTCCCTCCATTATTCCGAAGACAATAAAACTTTCATTACATTTGTAATGTTTTCTGTGTGTTTGTCATCTGAAATGTTCAACCCAAATACGAAGTACTACATCTCTCTCACTCTAATTCCCTTGCTTCAATCAAGAGGCTGAGAATTTATCATTTTCTTCCCTCCTCCTTCAGCACGTATCACATGCCCTCCCCAGTGTCTGCCTCCACAGCTGGGAAGCCAGAGGTAGAAGGCACCTTCCTTCACACAGGCTCCAAACACACCTGTGTGAGCTAAATAAACCATTTCAGCAGCTTTCTGCTAGGAATCGTGCGTAAGAGCAGCAGTTTGCGTTTCAATTTCTCTTGCTTGAAAGGCAGGAAGGTGTTTCCTTGCTGCAGGCAAGCAGGACATTTGCATTTCATTGCTTCCAATGCACTTTGTCACTTTGGGACCAAAGCAACAGGGAGTCTGTGCCCTGGGAAGTTTTCATCCACTCCTACAAACTTCAGTCATCACTTTTCCCCTGAATGGCTGTAAGATGTGGGACATCACCACTCTCTGTTTGTTTCACAGGCCCTGTATGGGTTTTGATCCACTTCAATTGGGGCTGAGGGCAATGTTTCCCCCTCTGTGTCTTTGACAGATCATAAAACTGCTTTCTAAAGTAAACAAACAAACAACAAAACAAAACAAACCGGCAAAATATAATTCCTTATCTTTTTCTAATTTTATGACCTTTAATTGGTCCATCTTGTTGAAAAAACCTTCTTTGAAGGTGACACTCCAAAGCTATTATTGCCATTTGGGTGTGACTAGGTTACATTTAATTAACAAGATCCCAGTGTCAATAGTTCATTCAGTGGTTGGTAAGTGAATCAGTTCCGACCATCTATCCACAAAGCAGAATAGCAGGTGAGCTGGGGTGCTCTGAGGAAGCAGTGCAAGCATTTGATGCCCAAAGAAACCAGGTAGGAGGAGGGTGGATATGCTGAATCTACTTGTGCCTACTGGTAGGAAAAGCTAACAGTAGTATTACCCTTTTGGTGTTTCCAGCATGTAAACCAGCCATCACAAAGTGCTCTGGAAAGGTCTGTTTGTAACACTATGGACTGACAAGAATTGACATCCAAGTCCTCTTCTTCCCATTATTAACCTCTAATATTGTATATACTTCAGCAAACTTCACTGAAAATCCCATGACAATAAGATTTTGTGCTGTGGAATGGATTACAGAACTCTCAAAACTCTGTCAAAACACACAAATAAGTGACACTTAGGCCTAACTTCTTGTTCAGCAGAGGTTCAGAAAAATTAGGAGACTCGATGTAGGTCAGACTGGAATCGGTGAGAAAGAAGAGGCTGACATAGCAGTCTAATAGCCATTACAGAGGCTGTAACTGTGTGCTAGCTCCTGTGATAGAACACACAGTGCCAGAGTGCAGATGGCATGTGCTTTCTGTGCATAGTAGTATGCATATCCAGATTGGCAGAGAAGGTCGAGTGTCCTCTGCAGCAGCACTGATGACATGACTGGTGGGGAAGGGGAGGATGTGATTCACACACTGCCCTAACAGAACAATACCAGTAGTCAGGAATGATCAGATGTCCCCACTAAGCTCACAGAGACACAAAAGGAGCTAACAGCTGACATTTTTAACACTGGAATTTTCAGGCAAGTCAGATCATTATTTTTTATCAGAATCATGATACAAACAGCATATCATATATAACTCCTGCCTTAGAGTCCTGCAAGTCTCAGAAACAAGAAACCTGTTTAATCTATGTTCCTTAAGTAGATTAAATCCCTCTAACACCTTTCATGCCAGCATTTATTCTGCATGGTGCTCAGGCTCTCATTATATTTGACATTTTATCTTCGTTATTGAATTGTCTTTTCCTTGTTTTGCTCATTCACAGTGTATACTGGCCAGCCTACAAAAACGTGATTTGAGTGTTTTAAATGAGACTGATATATTTTGACTGTGTCCTTGCTGATATAAAGGACTGTAAAGCAGCCAGCTGTTCATTGTTACTATATTAAATAAAGCAAAATTCCCTTGTGATATACTATATACTAACAAATGATGTAATGAAGCTCTGGCCATGTGAAAACTCTATCATGATACCACCCAGCATCCCCATGAGCAGCCAAGAGGCCAAATCACTTGTCTGAGAAGCCCCGTTAACACGTCGCCCTTACAACCCAGAGCTGTAATTGCTTTAACCTGACACGCTGCTCATTTTCTGTCCTGCGTGCTCCAGTACGTGTACACATTTCTTTCCTCTCTGCTGGAGAAAAGGCTTACAAAACAAAGCCAGTTTAACACATTTCTCTGCCTTCTTTCTACGTGCACCAGGGTGGCAAAAGGTACCATGCAATGGATGGGGAGAACTGGGAGCCGTGTATGGCCTATGAGACCCCACTACATCTGGGAAGCAGGAAAGGATGTAAGAGCAGGCACTGCTTTTACAAAGGGAATTTTCAGGCAAGAGAAACCAAATCAAAAATAGCGAACCAGGTTTAAACCTTCAGAATGCACTGATAGTGCCCAGTCCTTCAAGGGAAAACTCAGACGTGTGGGGTGCCTTCCAGCCAGTCACATGCTGCATGGAGACACGGTGATGGAATCACGTCACCTATGTAAGCTACTGGCTATGGAAATTGTGCACTGCAATACAGCTCTAGCTGAATTTGTGGAAGGTTTACACAAAAATTAGCCTTTTGTGAATTTACACTTACATCAAATTTGAAACATTTATCTATTGCCCTTTTCAGAGCCCATACAAGGTAGTAGTTAGCAGTAGGCTCATTCTGTCTGGATATGGTGGAGAACAGGACTGAGGGCACTGCAGTGACACAGCTGGCTGTACTATGTGCTAACTTGCTTGGAGCCAGAACAGGTATCTCCACTAAGCAGTGCAGACATACCCTACCACAAGCACTGAGATGAGCAGAAACTGTGATTTCACAAACACCAGTCCCATACATGAGTTGTATGATTAAAGGTTTCAGACAACGAACAAACTCCCATCTGAACTCCAGCCCTGCTCTGCGGCAGTTTTGTCTAGGTGCTACGTGTTCTCTTCTAGAGGGTTCATTGCAAAAACATCAGTGGCCTTTCACTAGAAAGGAAGGGGAGGAGGAAGAGCACCATATGGCATATCCCCAGTGGGTGCATACCACAAGCCTTTCCCATGTTTACAGTTCTTGGCCATGGTCTGAGCCCAACGTCAGGCTAACCTTGAACCTTGCAAACTAAATACAATCCTGAGAGTGCAGCTGGAGCAGGTGGGAGAGCCAGATAAAGAGCTCAGTTTCCAGAAACAAAAGAGAAAGCATTCCCCCCAAATCCATGCTGTTAGAGCTATCCTTGCTGCTCTGACAAGATTTCATTCTGAAAATGGCAGTGGAGTATTTTCACCACCACATATTGTGAAGCTGAATGCAAATGTTCTACAATTTTGCTGCCCAAATTGCATGGTAGGATTCCCACACCTTAAGGACACAGACTGCTGACTCACCTGTCCTCGCTTCCAGCCATAGGGAACTGTGCTGCAGAAAAGCCATTATACAGAACTGCTCCTGCTCCATAGTCTGCCTGGAGATCATAAACACATGTTCCCTACCTGCGCCCTGGGTGGTGTCTGCTGCCAGCTGTGCTGAAGCTGCCCAGCTTCCACATGAGACCTATGGTGGAGCTGCTGACCCAATTGCAGCACCTGGGGAACGCTTAAAATTCCTATGGGCAGGTGTGGCTGTGATCCAGGATCTGAGCCTTCATGGAGCGCTTTTATTTATGCAAGATAATTAGTGGTGTAAATGAACTGGCAAGAACCATTTTTGCATGAAAGTCCAATAAAAAAAAAACATCCTTAATTGTTCTCATGGCCTCTGAGGCTGTCTAATCATGAAATACATGTTCTGTGTAACCTCTGTTTTTTAATTCCCTTAATTTTTGAGCAAACAGAACTCCCCTCCCCATTCCCTCTGGAAGACAGATAATATGTTATGAAGTATTTTGGCAGAAGACACCGCTCATTGTATTTATTGGCGACATACATTAAAGTAAAAGGGGAAAAATTAAAGCTGTTAGAAAGAGGTCAAATTCCAGCCATTTCTCAGGAGTAAGGTTCAGTTTTGAAGTCATTTTTCAAAAGAGGTTTTGCATTTACAAAATCTAATGAGGTTAATTTGAGACTGAATGAGCTAATCATCAGTTTGGTATTCTGGACACCACAGATTTATCACTTCCCTCAGTGTGATAATATCATTTGTCATCTTTCTTCTGGTACCCCATCAACAGAATCATTTCTACTTCAGACCGATGCTCTGACTTCCATGCTCCTGAAAGCTTGTGCTGTTCCATTGTCTTAACTCTGGAGAAAGCATTTCTGGGAGGATCACTGCCTTGATGTGAGCAGTTCTGGGTCTCAGCTGTTAGTGCAGGAGCACTGAGTGACCTGCTGCTGCCCATGGCCATGGGACTTTATTGTTCTGTTCTCTGATATCACTTATAGAATAATTCCCAGGAGGTGCTGGGTTTGAGTATTTCCAAAATTTGCAGGTTTCACAGTGTGGCTTTGGATATAAATTCTGCACGGTAGGAAAGGGGAAAACAATGGCTTGCCTTCCACCTCTTAGTCACAGAGCTGAATCACATTGCTGTTTAAGAGCTGCTTGCTGCCATATTTGCAGGAGGCTCATGGTTTTCTCTCATTTCCTGCTGTGCATCTCCCAAGCTTCTATCCTGCCCTGCACAGCCAAAGCCCATCATCAGAGCTTCCACAGAGTGAGAGCTGAGAGGGGCCGCATCCCCTTCGCAGATGTTTATTATTTGATTAATTAACTCTAGCTTGGCGTTAATCACTTGCGCATTCAGACAGTGGAATCATACAGGAAGAGAACAATACAAAGGAAAATACTCACAGTGGTGATTTCCATTTCAATGGGAGGAAAAAAAAAGAGGGAAAATTTCATTCTGAAACCAGTGTGCCTTGTCCATGACTCAAACCTGCCAATATTGCTGGTTTCCATCTTGCTACTGAAAGCCCACACGTAGACAGTCATTAATCATGGTGAAGACCCAGTGTGAGCAGTCCTCCTGCCCTCAGTGTATGTTCCTTATCATGAGGCTCCACCATGACACAGTTTTCTCCTTTCCCTATTCCTGTTTCTGCTGACTTCACAGAGCACTCATGAACCAGCCAGTATCCACTTCTTCCCACCTCTCTTCAGATGCACCTACAGAAAGATTTGCTTTGTTGGATATTTTGTTGTCTGGACCACAGTGTGTTGAGCTGCTGCTCCTTAAAACTGTGAGAAAATAGCTAATGTAGTACAATGGCTATCTCCACCCTACACCCTGTGGTTTTCCAAAACCACAAAACATGACGACACAGCAACCAACTTCCCTATTCTTATACATATAAACGTATATCTTTGTTTGCATGACAGTACGTTCATAATTAAATGGACAGTGAACAAATCTACTAATTACAAGTTTTACACAGAAGATGTTGGTATGCAGCCTTTGGATGCAGCCTGCAGAACTCCAAGAACTTTGAGAGGAAAACCATCAGAAAAGATCTCTGTTACGTGGTTAACTGCACTTATGAAACTCCCTGACCAAGTAACTCTGCACATTGGCTTGAAACTACAGCTGTGAGCTGTACAAAGGAAATGACGACAGGATATAAAGGACTAGGGAATATTCAGTATTTACTAAACAAAGATCTTCATTTGAGCGTGTGTCCAGTCATACCACAAGTATTTGACAGAAACAGCTCCCTGAGCTTGGACAGGTCACAGAGTGATTGCTGTTATTTTGCTGTGCACATACAAAAAATCACTTTGCATTAATATACTTTCAATAGCAAATTCTTTCTTCCCCCTTTTTAAAATTGCCATTTTAAGCTAGAAAGGCAAGCCAAAAGGTACTGGCAAATATGGGAATAAGACCTGAAAACCTGAAAACTTCATGATCATTCTGAGACACACATTTCACACCTTAATTTTTCAAAGGAACTCTCTTCAGAAGAAACTTTCAAGCTCAGGCCAAAACTCAGGTTAGAATCACACCAACTTGCTGAAAGGGATTTTACAACTTCATCTGACTTCTGGGGGAACCAGAGAGTAGTTTGGGTAATCTTTAATATTACCAGATGAGAGCTGTTCCTATAACACAATATGTTATGTCTTTTTCTTGGGATCTGAAGAAAAGGGCTGTTGTAAAACAATATTATTTATGGACTGTGTTGCAGTGTTTGCCAGACAGTAACGTACAGGCAGTACATCTCCAACCAGGCAGCACAGAGCCTGGGGCTGCAAGGACAGGCTGCCACCTCTGAGGAGCCTTCAGCCTAAAGAATCAACAGAGGCAAAAGGCCAGAGATGGGTAAAAGTGATTTGATGACTTACTCAGCTTCAGAGCTGAAGTAGACTCCACTGGAAAGGGGAGTGGTGGCTCCACACTGATGATGGACTTGTTTCTGTTAGCAGTTTTTCCTGCTCTCATTTTACAAGGGACTTCTGTCTTCGTTGCATTCTCTGAACTTTCCATGCTTGATTTTTTGCTCAGATGTGTCTCCGCGTCTCTCCTCAGCTGCTGTTTGGAACAAACTGACAAACAAACATTTGCTGCTGGGTCAGTGTAAAAAGTATTTGCTTGATTCTTACCCACAATGGATTGAAGAGACAAAAGAAAATGGCAGTGAGTCATGTTTTATGTACTTTTTCAATACCTTTTAAATGCAGCTGGTTCTACATTCACCTTCATAGTTCAACTAATATGGAACTCCACAAGAGATTTATTCTCATGCAGTAAAGCTCAGACCCTCTCTAAGACTCCAATGTGCTCCATTTTCTTTTACCTGTGTGCTTAACATTCAGCCCAGAGCAGCTGCGAGCTACAAGGACACAGATGAGGAAGTTGTGTTATTTGTGCCTTTCAGGATTGCTAATTTTCTAGAATTGACAGCCCAAGATTAGGTGAAAATTTGTTGTAGGGTAGGTTTTTTTTTTCTTTTTTTAAGTAGTGCCCATCCACAGATAGCAAAAGAAATAGCTGCACAGCATCCAGCTAACTGTACACGGACCCCAATCATTATTTGGATGTTAGCTTTGTATTTTATGATCTCATTTTTCCTTGTAAGTGTGGAAATATCAGAGTTTCACTCAGCCCTACCAGTTTGTTCCAAAGTCAGGGGAAATGAAATACAGTATTGAACAACACAACAACATGTCAGGAAAAAATAAATGGAACGGCTTTGTGGTGTCAGCTTGTGAAGAAATGAGATGAAATATTTTTTCCATGTGCTGAATGAGCCCAGACAAAATCTGTCTCGATGCTAGGCTCACTGCAACCTGCTTGTATCATTTTTGGAGACATGAGAAATCTGCTTTACGGCAGGTACTCAACCATGCTGTACACTGAAAAATACTCCCTTTTCTCAGAATGAAATTTTTCACAGTTAGATAAGATACAGTGGAAGATATTTGCTGGAGTCTTCTGGTACAGCCAAGCACGTTGGCTGTGACTATAGTCACTAGAACTCTTCCTTAGGCTCTGACTCCTCTTGAATCAGAACTAAATGAATAAACCCCAATAAAAGGAGAATTCAGAAAACGGAGTGCAAGTTCCAGGTGACATCATATGTTGGAGCATGAGTTCTGGGTGATTGTGGGTTACTGGAAGTCTATGCTGGGTGGACCTAAATGTGCTTTTTTATTTTTCTTTCAGGCTGAGGATACCGCTAGCTTCCACTAAGTTGATTTCAGGTAAATACATATTACTTAAGGCTTAACATTTTGGCTCACAGAAACTTCAGGCCATTACTTTTAATTAAACAAACAAGACCCTCTGAAAACTTCATGGTATCCCAAGGAGAACTCTCATCCATGAGTAAAAGATACTTTTTCCCATCTCTGACCTACCCGCATTCCTGTGGGTTTCATTCACTATCGTACCACTCGCAAACTGGAAAGGGCATTTTCTGCAAATATTATTCACATTAGCAGCCCTAAAAATGCTCATTCCACGGTTATGTTCCAAGCACTGGCAGGATACTTTATTCACTGCAGTAACTGAGAGCACTGCTTGTTCTCACTGTATCTCCCAGGCCACAATCACGGGTGTCAGATGTGTTTTTGCTAACAAGACTGTGGAACTGGTGAGCAGAGAGATTTCCCACCCTTCCCTTCTCCCAAGCATCCGTCAAACCGCAGTTTCGGAGTGGCCACACCCTGCTTGTTATTGTTCTAGTAAAATATGAAAGGTGGGTTCTTTTTATATTTTCCTTAGCCTTTCACCTTTATTTAAAGTAGAGTGCATTCAAGGGACATCTGTGTTACTGGCAGTAAGATCACGGGAGGGAGCTTTCTATAAATACCACCACTATTAAATAAACTGCTGGAGCACGGCATTCACTAGCACGATGAGTTCAGTGCTGTAGTATGTATTCCTGCCAGAGCTGACTCTCAGTGAAGCATCCTTTTATTTTCATTTTGGAACAGTACTTCTAATGTGCAGATGAAACTGAAAGGTGAGATTCCGAAGATGCGCTGCCAAATGTGCCAAATTTCCTAGGCGACACTGGCAGGATGGCCAACATCCAGCAGTGGTCAGTAACACCCCACTAGTTCACAGAAGTGTTATGATGGTTAAAACATTCGTGTGAATGAAGTACATTAAGTTTCTCTGACTGAATGAGTCATTACAATACAGAGATTATTTCAATTTAAGATGTTTGGCATGTGAAGGAGTAAGGTAAATACTAGATCATGTTCTTCTGTTTTCACAACTGAAGAAATGTGAACGCCATAAAACGGAGTCCAGACTTGCAAAGACCTACAGAAAACCCATCCAAGTATACACTTACAGCAGCTTTCTTAGAATAACGTAGACATACCCCAAATCAGTTCTAAATTGTCTTGGTCAGAGTTGGCCTAGGTCTAGTCAAAACTGTGATTTACTGAGGAAATTTAGGAAATTATCTTTCCCAGCTCCTCACTCTAAACTTTTATTCTTAAATAATATCTCTACGTAAACCCAACTTGAATGCTCTAAAGAAATGACTGCAGTGAAGACAATATAATTTAACCAAACAAAATAATAAAATTGAGGTTTGTCTGGGAGAAATAGACACAAGAAAAAAGAGTGTAAGACGAAGTAGGAAGTGATAATAGACATGATTTCACCAAGAGGGCCAAGAAGCAGCAAAGAGATTATGGAAGAAAACCTACAGAGTTGATTAGAATAATAGATTGTTTTCCTATTCCCAAATATCCTGTGGAATTTAATAGACACATTGAAAGAAATAAAGTGGTGGTTTGTTTTGCTCATGACATGAGGGAGTTTAAAGAGTGCTACATAAGCCACAGGTTGGCCAGTATTAAGCACAAAGGTTTCTCAAGCATAATGCCTACAGTCCAAATGATGTAATTTTAGAAGTTCCTATTGTATACGACGTTCCTTTAAGGGAGAAGCAGAGTGTTTTGATAAGAGATTTGTACAGATGTTGGAAGCATGTATAACTCAGAGATGTCTGTTCAAAACCTGGACCCATGATTCTAATTATACACCATGGAAGGAAAGCTGCGTGACTTCTGAAGAACACATGGAATCAGGATATCTATGTCTTATTGTGCTGACCCATTCAAATTAGGTCCAAAATACTCACTGCTTTTCTCACTTAATTCTTTGGAAAACCCATAACACATCTCTTAGAATAAATATACTTTAAAAAGCATAAGAAAGAGGAATCAGGACTGAATAGAGAACAAAACAGGAAATCTTCTTGCCACCATATAAATCCACTACTAACCCACACCCTACGTGATGTGTGCAGTTCCCATGCCCTCATCATAAGATTGGGCAATTGTTCTGAGAAAGGTAACAAAGATGATTAAAGTTCAGGAGAGCTTTCATACAAAAAAATTATTAGGTGGGCTCAGAATCTTCATGCTGGATAAAGAGGGGAAGGCTGCAAAATTCTTAAAGACATAAAGGGCTTAAAGACTGCTGCTTCTTTCAGCACAAGAACCAGACACAAACAGACGAAGATACAGAGAGCCAGGTTCAAACCAGTGTAGATTTTCTGCATGCCACAGGTAATAGTGAAACTGAAAAATGGATACAATAGATGCAAGAAATTTATGCATGTTTGTAACAAATCTGAATAAGGACATGGAAAAGTGATCCTTAGTGGCTGCTATACAGACAAATATCAAGAAATTCAGGAAATTCCATAAACTAAAAATAGCTGGAACACAGGAGTCTACATGACAGAAATATCATATATTCCTACTCTTCTTACTCTTCCCTGACACTTCTGTTTTATTCCAACAGGTTGGGCACTGGACACATTGATGTTCAGTGTTAGATCTCCCGAAACAGAAACATTCTCGATGCTCCTGGATTTTCTCTATACACTTCAATTCTTCCTGCAATTTATCATTGACTCCACTGACCATCAACTATAGTTTCTGCCATTTTTGACATCTTTCTACATGATGAGGTATGAACAAAGAATCCTGAACCGATGGGAGTTCAGCCTTTTGGTGAAAATGTGCTCCTCCTCACCTTCTGTCAGCATCCCTTCCTTTAGGTAAAGTCAGTCTTTGGTCCTCAGTACCACATCTGTCTTAATGCTGGCCCAGAACACTGGGTGGCAAACACATGTACAATGACAAAAATGCAGTATTAGCACAAGTTCATTTGTCAATAGATTCAAAATCAAGAATGGGGATCACAGTTGTAGCAGTCTGCTAATGACTGATATTTGGTACATTTCTCATATATCTACTGTAGAGGCATGAAATTGGTTCTTCGTGGCTAAAATGAAGATTTTCCTCTAGGTCATTCCCTGGAAATTATGCTTCATGTCATGACAGGGACATTTATATATATATATATATATATATATATATATATATTTATATTTAAATTTTTTAAAATTTTTTTGCAGGACTGATTGACTGTGCTCTTATATCTTCTGTTGAGATGCAGCATTAAAAATACTGAGTGCTGAAAAACAATAATGTTGGAGGAATACAATTGCCAAGTAAAATAAAACAGAATTAAATGTAAACTTCCACCATAGAGCTCCCATATGTTGGTATATGAGCCTTAGGAGGGCAGGGTAGGCCTAACAGTGATTTGTTTTCTTTGGCCAGTAAACACCCAATCATTTCTTAACTTGGCTCTTGTTTGAGATATCACATTCTATATTGACTACCCCTTTGTTCCCCCTGTTTTCAGTCTTTCAAGTTTCTTTAATATATGACAAGGTCTTTTAATTCGTTATCAGGGTTTGCTTTTTTTTTAATTCAGAAGAAGGTAATGCACTGTGCAGTATATTAAAGGGAAGCTAAATATTTCTGGTGACAACTCAACACCTACAGAGTCCAAACCCCTGCTAACGTTGGTTATCCTATCCCCTCTCCCTTAAGCCACACGGATTTTTGATTACAGTATAACCGCAGACTTGCATAATAAATCAGTCACTGCAGTAACACAGCAGTAATGACACATTCAGAAGTGTAACTTGTGGCACTCAGCCACCAACCAGGGGTCTGTGGGGAGCTGTGGTACCCTGGGGAGGGAGGGCTGGAGCAGGCTCCACGTCTTCAGGGCAGTCTCACGGCACTGAGGACAGTGGAGCTTGTACTCTGTGTTTTAAGTTAAGCTGTCAGCTTGTGAACTGACGTGATTGCAAAAGCTGATTTAGACACACTCAACAGAATGACTGTTCAGAAGCAAACTTTTATGATTTACCTCAGAATGAGCACAAGCTCTGGCTGGGGCAGACTCTTGAAGGTGCTGGGCTGCGAGGGAGCTGGTCTGCTTGTCCTCTCAGAGGTTCATTTTAGAATCATAAAATCATTGAGGCTTGAAAAGATCACAAAGATTTTTCAGTCCAACCATCAGCCCACCTCCACCATGCCCATTAACCATGCCCTTCAGTGCCACATCCCCACGGTTCTTGAATACCTCCAGGGACCACCATCTGGGCAGCTTGTGCCAATGCCTTACCAACATGCTGGACTTCTGAGGGGCTTCACTGAGATAAGTCTTCATGGCCATCTATGAAAGGAAGGTACCGATCATTTGACAATTTGTCTTCACATGGCAATTACCCCTTGATTCATTTGAGCCCCTGCCCTAAGTCCCTCAGCACGGCTTAGCTGGAAGATCTTTAATTCAGAGCCACTCTGTCATTTTTCCAAATTTCTAAATAAAAATCAATACATCCGTACAAAAGCACTCATTTGTGCAATATCATTGCCAGGCTCCATATGGTATTCCAATGACTGGTCTGGATTCATAGGCTCCTACCTTATAGCTTCACACCTACCACACCTATAAAAAAGCAGTTACAGCATCACTGTATCCAAGCATATCATATAAGCACACTGATTAACTCAAAGCACTGGGGATGTCTAAAACACAACCAAACCATTGTATTTCATCTAAAGCTGCATGTCTGTTATAATGGCAGACGCTGAAATGCCCCAGATGTGTCACTGCTCAATAGGATGATGCTACTGGACTGTGGCATCAAAAGATGCCTCGTTTCTTGAGACATCATTAAGAGGTAAGGCTTTCCATATCGTATGGAAAGGAATATGAGAGTGCAGAACACCTCAAAAGGAGTAAGAAACAACAACAAAACCCAGCATTGCAGCTGTAGGACCAATCCACCGCGTTACACATTTTACATTTGGAGAACTGTCAGGAATTCACAAACATACAGCAGACACCAAGATTTGCAAGAGTTAAAAGAGCAATTCAAACCTCTTGAACTATATTTAGTGTTCGTAAAACTTGCTACGGTTCATGGACCTGTTTCTTCCATCAGTTAAGTTCGTATTTCTTTCAAAGACAACTCCCTTTTCGTACTTTTAACAACGCTGGTTTTCTACTAACTGAACTTTCATTGAAACAGAGCAGCCTCTAAAAACTAGACTGGCATAGACACTTACTTGGATTAAAATATTCATTTTCCCACTTCGCTTCTTTACACACAGGCTTCTCTTGATTCATTTTTTATCCCTCTCTTACTTGGCTTTGTCTGCAATTTCATTGATTTTTTTTCCTTTTTTTTTTTTTTTTTTGCCATCTCTGGAACGTAATGAAAACATGCAGCGTTAACGCAGACTTGGAAATAGCATAACAGGATTGCTCATCCCAAATATAAACACATTCCTTTTTCTGCACTTATCTGACACCTTCCTTAACAAAAACACATGTACACTTGGAAACAGAGAATGGCTGTCACTGTGGTCCAGTAGTTTTATTGTAAGTTGTAATGTCTGGTAACTTTACTGCAGAATTAACATTCTATGTCTATACAGAATGTTTACTTATGCATTTATTAATGTGCACAAAAATACAAATATTTCTATATTAGGGGCTACCTGTTAACTGAATATAGTTTCTGCTGCAATAACATGCTAACAAAAATTGTTGCTAAAAAAAGCTGACACCTTCATAGCATGGGCATCTTTAACACAAAATACAGGTGCCTGTAACAAGCTCTTCAGATCAACTGTATTCCAGGGATAGGAATTAACATCTTAAAATCACTGTTCAGGAAATTGACCGCACAACTTGCATTCACAGAGCACCATATCAGGAAGAGCATTTTAACAGCATTTTGAGTGTTTATTACTTAAAGTGAAAAGAAGAGCAAGAGCAGAATATTAAGTTCGAAACATAATGGGTAAAAATAATAATGAAAAAGTTTATTAAAATTTCACTATAATTTTTTTATGGTAGTCACAAATCTGAATTCAAATGAGGTTACTCCATCTCTTCCTCACAAAACTGATTCCATACAGGAAAGACAGGCGCCGTAAAAGGCATCAAGTGAGTGCTGTTGACAGGGCATTAGGCTGGAATACCAGACAGGAGAACTTTGGCTTCAACAGCCATTTCAGATCACTAGAGCTGCAAACACACAGACTATAAAAAGGAAAAGTACACCAATGACAATATTATGTTCTGGGCAAGTTTCTTTAACCTATTTACACCAGGTTTGGATTTGACGATCTGAATTCCAATAGAGAGCATTTCATTAACCATGTGTATCTAAAACTGCTATTGGAGATTCTCAGATGGCACCTATCAACAGCATATAAAGCACATTTGCTCTATGTCTCACTACAATTTAAAAAACAGCAGACTGCCTTTGCTGATGTTATACAGCTATTTCTGCGCTCTTTAGTTTTGGACAAAACCCAAAAGTTTCAGACTGAATCCCAACATACTTACATTCAAATACTATCTCATCTTGGAACTACTGAAAAACATTCTTTCAAATAAAGGCACACAGAGCTCAGCTATCTACTGAAAATGATCCAGCCATCTTCTGAAGAATAACAAAATATTAACAACAGCTTGTGAGCCAAAAAATGATTACTGAGCACCAGCAACGTGTGTTCTTGCTACAACTACCATGAGAAAAGGCAAAACCACAATCCAATACCTACAGTGACTATTTTTTCTCTCATCTAAACTCAACTCTTGCAAAAGAAGAGTGGGGTTTTTGAACCATGTCAGAGATGAGTGGGGAGGAAATGAAATAGCCACTTTGGCTCTTTCACTGAACTTGCTATGAGGATGGACAAGAGCTACCTTTTCTTAAACAAGATGATCCCTCACTGATTCTGGCATGAAGCGGCTCATCTGTAAGCAGCCAAGTTAAACACCTGTATGCCAGACAAAACCAGCTGTCTGTGTGGCTCTGCCAACTCATCTGCTCAATATACCTCCTACTAGTGGGCTGTGATCTTTCAGTAAACACACAGTTCAAATGCAAGTGGTTTGTTTTTCTTTTTTTTTTCCTGTTCTCTTATCTTAATTAGCACCTCAATTTTCTAAGAAGCCATTGATTAACTACAATGATACTGCTGCCTGTATTGCCACCAACAACTGGGCATCAGCTCAGTTTAACTGGCTAACGTAGAGATAAGAAATATGCACATGAAATGAGTGTGCATTATAGTGGTGTTGTCTTCTCAGAGTTATTCTTAAGTCCATTTTCAAATACGAACTTCTTCCAACTAAGAAGAAGAAATACGTGTTTTCATCGCTCTCCTCAGTGAAAAACCCCAGCAAAGACCCCAAGAAACAAACCTTGAGGAAGGCCTCCATTACTCAGCCTGACCCACCATGATGTGCCGTTTGTTTTAAACATGTGGTAACATTTCTGTTCCCCTCACTGCCTAAGGACTTGCCTTCTCCTTAACTTCCAGGTCATTTTACCCATCTGTTCAGGGAAATATATGAATATTTATCTGGATGAAGGAGAAAAAAATTAAAGCTCTCTGTAAGAATTTTCATCTCTCTTCTCTCTCTTTCTTTTCCTGAGCATGGCAGTTTTGAGGAGGAGAGGTTAAATTTCTACCAAAAGACCATGGATCAATTTGTGTGCACTCACCTTTGAAATGTTCCTATCAGCTTTGCTCCATGTTTGCTGGGTGCAGGGAAGCTTCTCCCCGCAGTGAACCCTTTGTTCCCTCTTTGTTCAAACAGATATCTCTATTTTCAAACTGGTAAAGCTTAACTAGAGCTACACAGGATGGATCTGAACAGGGAAGCTAACACAAACCAGCAGGACACTTTTGGGGTTGTGTACATTCCCTTTATATGATGTCACGCTTACTTCTGACTGGGGGGAAGTGCATTTATACGATTTACTTTTCTAAAATACACAAGCAAAGTACAGAAACGATTTGAAAGTTGTTAAATTCAGTATATTTCAACATCATTTATGGTGCAAAATAAATTAAAAGAGGTGAGGTAGATTTAGATCCTCAGTCCTTTCACAGCTAGGAAATGTTTTCTGTAATGTTTATGGCTATCCATAAACTGCAATATAAATACAAAACTCTACCTTTAATGTTTAAAAAGCTGTTGTCAGAAAGATTCTGTAAGTGCACTGGTGTATTATTTAGTTCTGCTGTACCACTGTAAGCACACACATTTCATTGGTTTGAGTGTAAGCTCTGGAAGACAGTGCTTTTCTTTGGATGGCATACGGTCTGGAATAGTAAGCACATTATCAAGCACATTTATTGCAGTCAGCTCTCCTAATGATAGGTGTTCACATCTTCCATTTTTCATGAACCTCTTTCTATAAAGAAATGACAGGGTATGACAAAGGAATACTCACATTATTCTGAAGGAAGAATTTATCCATTATTTTGAAGTTTTATATGTATTTCATCATTACATCTCAGCAGAGGATGGGATGCATGTCCCGTGGCTGTGTGCTGTGATTCAGAATATTACGGGGAACTGGATCTTTCCAGAGAAAGAGCAGGAAGGACATGACTGCTGGTACAGCTTGTCTTCAGGAATAACTCCCAGCAAAGTGAGCAGGGCTTCCCTGAGCAGAAAAGCATCGGTAAGAGTTTGGAGAACTGAGGCTCTAAGCTGGAGTTTTAGCTTTCTTGTTTGTTTTGATCATTATCATCTTCCTCTTACAGCACGAACCTGTGAAATCTGCAGGCTTATTTTGGGATAGGTTCCCTGTTTCTTCTTCTGGCCTCTCCTCTCTCCAGGTTTTCCCTGCTGCTCAGGTCCTGGCAGAAAGGATGCTGAACGGCTATTTACAACCAACTATGCTCAGACCAAATAGCACCAAACTCATGTTCAATCTGGCTGTAAATGCTGATGTTTCAGCAGCTGCTTCATAAGTAGATAAATGGCACATCAGTGAGGAAGGGCAGCAGCCATCCCAGTGTGAGCTGCCCCCCCCCCTTACTAAGGCACATGCTGCCTTATTTATTCCTTTTATTGATATAGCGCTGGATGCAGAACTCTTTTTTTCCTTTTTCTTTTTCTTTTTTTTCATAATTACAAGCATTTGGAATTAAAATATATGAATCCATTTTACAGGAAACTACAGGAAACTACATTTTTGCTAGTACTGGAATATTTGCTTAAGTATAGATTGCTCCCATTCCACCTAAATAGGCAGAATTCTTAAGAGAACATTGGGGAAGTTCTGTTTCCTGTAGCTACAAACAAAACAGAAGGGCAAGAAAAGAAAACATTAAAAAAAATCAATTTGAACTCAACACTTAAAAGCAAAGCCATACCCTTGATTTCAAACCTGTTCCATAATCAAAATTATGGGATGGAATATTTTTGAATAGAAGGCATGTTTCTGTATTAAAGCAATGTTCGATTGCTGCTGTCAGAGTGGCAGGATCTCCAGCAGTGTATCTGCACCAGAATCAGAGTTCACCCCATTTTAACTACTGATTTGTGTGAGGGAACATGAAGAATTTAATCCAGCCTGCAAATTATTCTGTTTCCCTTCATTCTTTTCTCTGTGTCGGATACAGTTCTTTGGTGGGTGTTTGTTTTTGCAGCCATAGTGATGAGATATATTTGTTGGCTGCAGTCAAAATAGTTCCCAACAGTTATCTACTGGCATCAACTTATTATTCAGCAAATCCAGACACTTTGCCTGCTTTACACCCAAAGGGGGAGAATTTGGAGACTATGGTCCCAGAATAGCTCATGTTATTCTTCTAAATCAGACCCATAATTCACCATTTTGAATACCACAAAGAAAGTCAAGATGGGTATTCACAATAACTAGAATTGGATCCATTCAAAACTTTCTTATTATTCCATTACCGAGGGGAAAAAAAAAACAACACATGATCTCATTTAAATCATAAATATTCTTCAGAGCAACATCCTTTATAACAATAAATCACACATTTTTCTCACAGCACTGCTTTGCTCCTGCTCTGCTTGGGGTGAAAAACCATCAGTGTTTGATTTGACAAACTGCTGACAAAACCCACTTGATTTTATAATATAGGAATCAGACACATACTGGGAATTGATACATATCTGACTCCACTGCATTGAAAAGCATGTGGATGTGTGTATAAATACATTTTGGCTGGTTGACGTTGCTGACCCTGGCCTTAAGCAGTGATTTTGACAGATCTGCATGGCTTATGGCTTTGTGGAGCAGTTTAACTCCAGTGACCAGCTTGGAGACTCCGGCTGCGATTTTTTGGGGGCTTCTGAATGATAGAAGGACAGTAACACTGGAAGCTGCTGAAGTTAAAATCCATCAAAGCCCTCAGCCACTGCAGCTCACGGGAAACTGAACTCTCTAGCAGCTCAATCTGTTACAGCAAGCTGTGGCTCTTTGGGACGGAGCACCGCCCAGCCAGGCACCCCTCCCACCATCCCGATAGCATCTAGCAGGCTGAGAGCTGGAAGCAGGAACCTCTTCAGGCATGCCAGTATGAATTGGCAGAGCTTGGGATTCAGGGCACGTACCCACACGAGCTGTCCTTATTCCCAGGGCTGGAATAGTCCCATTGATTCAGTGCATCCAAAGTAATTGGATTATGAAACAAAAGCAAGTTCTTTGCTTGTGCTTTCTCTGTGCCACTTCCTATGGATACGGGATACTTTTAGTTCTACATTTAGTTTGCTACATTCTAAGCAGTTAACATGAGTATGAGGGTATAAAATTCTGGATCTGGGGAACCAGTGGTGGTTAATGTTGTTTCAAGTAACTCCGGCTAAATTCCCAGCCACTCTGACCTCCAGCACTGACACAGAGCAAGCACTGGGTTTGCTAACACTCGCTTGCACCCCTCAAGAGCCGCTCTAAGCCCCTGTGGGAAGTAGCAGAGCGCTATGGACTGGATTTTTTCATTCAAATCACAAAATGAGGTTTGCTGTTGAAAGGGAATTAAGGTATAATCTTGCTGACATAAAGCAGAATCAGCAAAACACTTTTTGTCTCAGACACAGATTGAATCCAGTCTGAGGACAGGGATGATTTCAGGGGCTTCACTCTGTTCCCGGGTTGAGCACTTTCCAACACGTTCACGTTCCATCCTGCAGGATGCATTGTCACAGTGGCTGTAAGGAGCCCTTTGTGCGGGGCAGAGCTTCACAATGCTGCACTGTAGGGGCAATTTGTTTCCCTTTCACTAATGAAGATGTATAGGACGTGAAGTGCTGCCTTTTCCCCATTCTCTTGGAAGAGAGAGCACTGCTGCTCCCAGTGCAAGCAGGAACGGGGCTGGCTGTCAGAGCAGCCCACGTCCTGCAGGATGGGTGTTGCTAGTGAGTATCATTGTTTGAAAGTAAAAATAGTTTCTAAACAGAATCTTGTGGGAGGATAGAAGCCGAGTTAAAAGTTGGGCAGTGGCCAGCCTGGCTTTCATGGAGTAATTGCTAATTGTGTAAGCTCTGCCCAACACTCTGTTTACCAAGGATGTTTTGCCCATTTTAGCTGAGGTGGGGCTCGTTTCCTTAACAGACACAGAACAGCGCTGCAGTCTGCTCTGTATCCTGCTTCCACAGAGCATGCTCAGATCCTGAGGCATTCACAAAAAGTAAAAGTAACCCCCCCATCTCCCTACTCTACATAGATAAAAGGATCAGGATGCCCTTCATGTTGAGCGTTTACCTTCCCTTATAGTATACTTCAGAAACATTCAAGGCCAAGGTCAGTGCTTGCCCCAGTTAATCCTTCCTGTTGGACTCTGCTTCAGTGCAGCACTGCCCGTGTTCCAGTCTGATTAGCAGTGCATGTGAGCAGTATATGGAACCTGAACATGTGTTCCCTGTGACTGTTGTTGGGTTGCTCCCACTCGTGATTACTAATTGCAGTGGTCACACGTGGTGTGTTGGTATTAGCAAACCTCTGTCCTGCCTGCAGGAAGATGAAAGCTGACATTTATTTACTGGGAAAAAAAAAAGGCACTGTGGGCTGCAAGCTGTGCAGTGTGTATTAGTACACTCATGTAAGTGATTTAAATCTCATAACAGCACTAGCTGGGAAACCACAGATTTTTCCTTTGTTTGTTAATTAGCATTTCTCTCCTTCATTAATAAAATCAACCCAAGACTGGATCAAATCAAGAAGTTTTTCAGATAACCTAAAGCTTAGAGCATGTGGTAACTGAAGAGCAGTTTAAACTCCACAGAACACTTTGCCAAGAATTCAGAACCAACAGCCAGAGTACTTCTGCAAATCACTGCCAGATCAGAGGATTAGAATTTTACTACGATTATTCCTGTGCCACATTACACAGCATTAGATTAGCTCCCAGTTAGTTAGCTCCCAATTCTGAGTTGCTATCATGTAATAGCTACATTCTTAGAAGTTTTTTTAGATGGTTTGAGGTATTTGTGCAGTCCCACACTAAATCAGAATGCTTGAACTGGTGTTTTAACTCAGCACATGTAACTGGATAGGCACTGGATGGCCCATATGGAATGCTGTAGCTATATTACACATAGTGGCACTGGAGTTAATTACATCTGCACCAGCAGTCTTAACTCTGCATTCCTCAGCCTTTGCCAAGTTACATCTAGAACATGGAAAACCTTGTATGACTGTGTTTGCTTAATGGGAGTGTGATCTACATACCTCGCCCTTAAAAACAAGGAGAAAAGGAACGAGGACATCTGTCTTCCAGTTCTAACAGTGACACTGCACTTGAGGAGGCCATCACTACCAAATAAAGCACTTGCTTGCACCCTGTCCCACATCTGAGTTATAGCCCAAGGGACCTCAAGGCCTCTCAGTTATACTTTCTTGGCTTCTTGTCTTCAGCTTGTTAGCACACCCATCTGACTGAAGCAGACTGCTGCTGATTATGTAC